GTTCAAATATTGATGACCCTTGTAATGGAAAATAGCAGAGTAATGTGGGCTAAGTAAACTGCTTTAAAAGCTATTTATTTCTATTCTCATTACTTGTGACCAATAGCTGTAATACTCAATATCAATTATATAATATCACCTTGCTTGGTCTTAGGATGATTAGAAGGTTCTAGGATTCTTTTAATTATTAAGGGATCGTTCACACGTTGTTTATGATTCAAGAACCAGTCAGTGTTTGCAAACAAATAAGAATTTATTTTACAAACAATTAAGACTTGACAAATGGTTTAAACTATTATCCTGTAAGTGGATGGAACTAAAAGATGGGTTTCTGAAAACTATATGTGAATATGATGATGAATAAGAATCTCCGTATCTTCAGAGAGGTGCGTTCTGGATAAAATAATTTGGTTTGCAGATAAGCTATAAGCTGTTATTCATCAAACTGCATACAGTCGCCATCTGTGTGTCTACATTACCGTAGAGGCACCCTCTTGGCGGATCCGAAAGTCAGAGTTGTCGGATGACTGCTGGCACCGGAGAACTGTAGAGTACCGAGGTGCCGTCCTTTCAGTCCTAGAGATGTGTCTCGGGTCATGACAGTTGGATGGAAACTACACGTTTTAAAATAACTCTGAAGGAGTTTTGCAAAATCTGCTTTGTTCTGCAGGAAAAACTATCTTGTTGTCCCCAGCTTCGCAGGTGAAAAAAGCTTTAAGGTTTTGACAGCGTGTCAAAATCCTTTCTGGGTTGATGATCTGCTAAGAGATGGCCAGTCTCCAGCTTCCTCTCCGACTGACGAGAAAGCAGAGCGGCTGGTATATACCCGCTGTTATCTGTTACCAAACTTACCAAGAATCTCAGAAACACACGCTCTGAGATGCAGAGTCTCTGAGTCTAGGGACAAGGTTAGTTATGTAGCATGATGAATTGTCCATTTTTGACCTAAAGGCCCTGCTCTATTTGCTCTGCCCAAGCAAAACCATAAGTTTCTGACACAAGCCTAATCTACAAGATATGGGCCAAGGCCACTCATGCTCTGTGCTCTTATCTAAACTGTTGCTTCCTCGGACAGCACAAGAAAGAAGAAAAAAAATGAAGAACTCTTTCTCTTTAAATAATAATCAAATAACTTTGTTAGTCCAAATAATCATGTGAAGCTCAATGTTCAATCAATCTGTGAAATGAGAATATGAATTACTTGATATTATAATCCTATGATAGTGTTATAATAAGTAATATAACTTTAAACTAGACACTAGAATGATCACACGTAATGCTAAAGTCACATGACACATCTCCTTTTTCTGATCCAATTGGGGTACGTAGACCGACAGATGGCGTCTCAATGTGTGTTGTAATCTCCAAACAAAAGCTTAGAGCGAAACACCCTTTCACTCCCACTCAGAACTAATAGTCTCTCTGGATTTGCTGGTTCTGAACATATTTCACACACAGACCATCCTCAAATAGATGGGAACTTTGTTACCTTTGGTGGTCTTTGATCAGATACACGACTGGAGAGAGTGGTTTAGTTGTCAGGTACGGACCTGACCTTTCCTGCGAAAGGTTATTTACCAGTTTACCAGAGGTGACTATTGTGTGACCTGAATTAGGTGCAAAACTGAGGTCAGAATGAGAGGCCCTCTGATCATGAGGAGTCATACTGCCCCCTGCTGGTTTCTTCAGACTTGTCTGTGGAAAAGAAAACACAGCATGCAGATTGTCGTTAAGGCTCTGCAAAGCCCGCTCACTAGTGAAAGTCACAGCACCACCAGACTGAACTGGCTGGAACAGCAGGTGATGGTTGGACATCAAGAGATCTGGGAGTCCTTGGAGTGAGACACCTGAATAGGAGCCAGGCTCATACGGTCATATTAGAGGAGGCTGCGGAGGAAGCACAGCCACGTTTAGGATCAGACACAGACATGTGACCAGCAAGAGAAACATTGCCTGTTCTGAAGACTGAAACCAAGAATGATTTGGGCTATAGACAGGTGCAGTTGCAGTCTTACAAGGGTCCGGAGCAGATGTGCTCTCTGGAGGGCCCCCGGTCGACACACAGGTGCGATCAGAGAGATCAGGGTCAGCCAGTAGAGGTACAGGGCGACATCCGACCCCCCTTTTGGTAGGTAAGTCACCCACCTGAGGTTCAGAGGTCATCAGCGCCAGCTGTAGTGGAGTAAGGTCAGTGATGGCGTCGGCCCCCCTCTTGGTAGGTGGTGTTCCCACCTCAAGGTACTGGGCTTCAGCTGGAGTCTCAGTGCCACCATTAACTCTCCCTGCGGCAGGTGGTGTCCCCACTGCAGGGTGTGGAGTCTCAGGCAGAGCGTCGCTACAAGCGTCAGCCTCCCCTGGGTCAGGTGGCTTTCCCAACTCTGGTAGGAGTGGTTCTGCTGCAGGGACAACACCGGCTTCCGGCATAAACTTCCGGTAGTCTGAACACGGTAAAATCAACCGAGTCTGTAAGAAGCGAGCGTTTCAAATCACATTCTATTTGCTAAAAGTGTGTTTACTTGTGTGTTTATGCGTTACATTGTGTCACTCCTTAGTCAGATAATTAATTTCTCTCTCTTCACGTTAGCGCAAAGCTAATCGCTAGACAGTCTGATCAACTGTTAAATAGCACCTTTTCCGGTAAACTACCCAAAACCTGATATGATGAAGCTAGTTAACTAGTTAGCTAGCTGTCCGTCACTCGGAGCTCGAGCAGCGGCACCGCGGACCCCACGTTCAAGACTCCAGATCGTACTCACTCTGGCCCACTGGGCCGTTTCTAGCATTGAGGGGGCCCTATGCATGAAATTGTTCTGGGCCCCCCTATTTTGACAAACTGCAATTGATGATCTATAAACACACCATGAATTGTCACAAATTGCAAGCAAAAACATGGTACAATGTTAAAATTAAACACTCACTCAAGAAATATAACTAAGTAATACAAACTAGAAAGCAGTCAGAGTGCAGCCCTCCACCCCGGGAGGGGTGTTCACATCACACATACACATAAAGGGGCCAAGTGCATGTGAACAAGTACGACAACAATTGATTAAAGATTCCTGTATCATGGCAGTGGTCAAGATCACAATCTTTCTGATGGTCTGAGATGGAATTATTTTAAGAATAACTCTGGTTTTATTGGGCTGTTAACATTTAAAGCTGGTGTGTGGTTTAGAATTGGGATTTTAAACCAAAACAGTATGTTATAACTGTAATAAACTGTACAAGAACAAAAAATCTAAAATAGCAGAAATCAAGCATAACATGTATCACAACCTTGTATTGATTTATTTATATGCACAACGTTCAGTGTCTGAGTTTCCGTAGATACTGTCTGTCAATGTTCAGGAGCTTTTAGCTGTTGTGGTATTCTGCAGAGCAGTTCTTGTCCTGCTGCAGACTAAACTATTTCTTTCACACTTTGCACATCCAGGGAGCATTTTTATTTATTTATTTATTTGTGCACAGAGCATACCTGTTTCACCCCTGACCTGCCCTCCGTGCTTTGTCCATTCCTTCTCCACTGGTCCAGGGGACAGGGATGTGACCTTGAGCGGAGGTCACTGGAGGGTTTTCATCATGTGCACACACACTAATGCTGCTCCTGAAATTGTTGATGTTTCACGGCCTCCTTCTGTTACTTGTTGCTGATGTGTTTGTGGAGCTGGTGGTGAGAGGTAGCTGATAACAAGAGGTTCTTCTGGGGATAAATCTGGGTGTCGTGGGTCGGCTGCACCTGGGTCTGACTCTGTTGTCCAGGAGTCCAGAAGATGCTTGGTGGCTTTCAAGCAGATCACAGAATACCTCTCACAAAACTGTCTGCTTGACCCTTACCAATCTGGGCTCAAAAAGGGCCACTCCACTGAAACTGCTCTGTTAGCAGTGACGGAATCCTTAAAAGAAGCTAGAGCGACTGCCAAATCCTCAGTGCGTATCCTGCTCGACTTATTGGCTGCATTTGACACTGTCAACCATGGCTTCCTTTTGTCCACACTCTAGCATGGGCTTTACAGAGAAAGCACACGCCTGGTTTGAATCGTACCTCACAGGACGATCATTCAGTGTATCTTGGCTTGGACAATCCTCTACTGTGCACCATTTTGCCACAGGAGTCCCCCAGGGCTCTGTACTAGGACCTCTTTTCTTTGCCATATACACCACCTCATTGGGTGAGATCATTCGATCATATGGCTTCTCCTACCACTGCTATGCAGACGACACCCAGCTCTATCAGTCATTTCCACCGGACGACAATACTGTGTCTGCACGAATATCAAACTGTCTCTTTGACATATCAAAATGGATGAAATCCCACCATCTCCAACTCAACCTCTCTAAAACTGAATTACCTGTCATCCCAGCAAAACCATCCAAACAGCACAATATCTCAATCCAAAATGACTTTCTATCTCTGGCTCCTTCAAAGGCAGTTCGAAATATTGGTGTTGTGATTGATGAACACCTGACCTTGAAAGATCATGTTGCCTCTTTTGCTCATTCATGCCGCTTTGCGCTGTATAACATACGAAAGATCAGACCATACCTAACACAACATGCCACCCAGCTCCTGGTGCAACCTCCTGTCATCTCCCGCCTCAATTACTGCAATGCCCTTCTAACTGGTCTTCCAGCCTGTACTGTTAGTAGAGGTGGGAAAAATGATCGATTCTAAGATGCATCGCGATTCAGCCTTGCATGATTCCGCATCGATGCAGCAACGTGACATAATGAGATTCTCTCCCTATGTCTAATGTCGGGGGTCGGCAACCGCGGCTCTGGAGCCGCATGCGGCACTTCCATCCATCTGATGCGGCTCTCTGTGCTTGTAAAATAATGAATGGATATTTAAATAAAATGCTTTATATTTTACTGCATTAATTTTACATCTGTAAGCTAATTCTAAATGTAAAGATTGTCTGCGTAAACCTGAACAGTTCCAACCCGGTCTTACTGTGAGACCGGGTAGACGCGTCACGCTTGTGCGTAATCATATGCGTGTTCTGACCTGACAAGGATGTGAGATTCTGGGATTCTCCTCAGCTCCTGGATGTGTCGCCACATTGGAGACAGGAGCAAGCGCTATTCAGCCAAAGTTTCACAATCAGGGAGCATTTTCTAAGTGACAAGTCTCGCTTCAGTCGGAGGAATCTTCCTGCATGCGCCCTGGTTCTGCGACGTGCTCCAAGCCCCTCTCCACATCTTCAGCTCACTGTGCGCCGTACGTACGCGCTGACAGCGAGCTGCTCTGAGCTCTGTGTCCAGCTCAGATGGAAATCTTTTCTTAAGTGATTTAGCTACATCTGCGATGTGCGAAACGAATAAAATGTCAGTTCGTCTGCATGCGTCGGGTATTCTTTCTATTCTTTCTCCGTCAAAATAAATAGTCAAAAACGGGAACTGTCCGGTCAACACAACACAAGCCCTGCTTTTAACTGTTTTGTTTTCTTGTGAAAATAGATAAAATTAAACTTGATTAACACCAGAGCCAGGCGCACTGCGTCGTTGTCTCCGTCACTGTAAATGAGGGAAAAACAAAATGATCGGATCCTTTTCTGACCTTCCCCACCTACAAAGTTTAATTACAACAATCAAACATGACAGAGCCTGGATTTGTATTCTGAACTGTCTAAACATGTTTTAAAAAGAAACGTATGACAAAAGTGGGACCTGCTCAGTAAAACCATCAACAGGGTGAAAAATATCAAAATATTGTAGGCAGAGATGGGCTATAACTTCTGGATCTACTTTATATAAATCGTTTTATTGATTATCTTCTTATGAAAGACAACTTTGACGTACACGAGCGACCGGTACCGGCTGCTGTCTGAGGATAGGCCCCGCCCACAACGCCGTGGCTGCTGCGGTGTTTTGTTTACTGTGGGAAACGGGTAATAATGGCTCTTTGATGGGAACAGGTTGCCGACCCCTGGTCTAAGTCTATGCGAGAACAATAAAATTTTGAGGTTTTATAATTACTTCTGGGGGCAGAGTTGCAATGACATGCGCACTGCGTTGTCCTAGAAGCAATTGGACAGGGGTACAGGGCCAACATTACCAGTAATCAAAGATGTACCCGTTACATTTAAATCGGATGTCTGGGCTAATTTCTGTTTTGGGATCCTGGATGTGAAAGAATCGCTTAATACAGTATTTGTTTACTATTTTTAAGTTCAGTAATATTCTATCTTAAAGCTGCTCTACCGAAAACATTATTTCTTATATTATTTAAGTAATTATCGGCAGCACACTTTAAACATTATTGCTCACTATAGTGAATAGATGAATGTTCTGTTTTTCAGGGATTTCGAATTCAAAACGAAATTGAAAACTATTCTACTGCTTTTATTAAGTAATGAAAATTTTTGTGTGAAGAATCGTGATGCATTTCAGACTCAAATCGAATCGTTAGGCAGTTAATCGGAATCGGATCGAATCGTGAGGCAGGTAGAGATGCACACCACTAACTGTTAGACCTTTTCAAATGGTCCAGAACGCAGCGGCGCGTCTGGTCTTCAATCAACCAAAAAGAGCACACATCACCCCTCTGTTCATTGAGCTCCACTGGCTACCACTAGCTGCACGCATCAAATTCAAATTGCTAACACTAGCATACAAAGTCCGAGATGGCACGGCTCCCATCCACCTGAATCCTCTTGCAAAGGCTTACGTCTCGGCTCGGCCGCTCCGGTCATCACAAGATCGTCGGCTAGCAGAGCCTACGCCACGCTCGGGACAATCCAGACTCTTCTCATGCATTGTTCCACAAATGTGGAAAGACCTACCAAGCGCTACAAGAACAGGGGCTTCCTTTTCCACTTTCAAGAAACTCCTGAAGACCCTGCTCTTCACAGAGCGTCTTCTAAACTAGCACCCTCCCTGCACCCGTCCCCCCTCTCTACTGTCCACTCCTTGTTCCCTCCTCTCCATGATTCATCACGCTGCCTCACTGCAACCTACGACTGACTGGAAATTGTTTGTTGTTGTTGTTGTTATTGTTGTTGTTAGCCTCAAGAGCAACATACCGATTATAACTGGTAAATACTAGAAAATGAAAACTGTAAAAAAAAATTAATTAAACTGTAGATAAATATACTGTAGCTGTGATGGCAAATCATCTTCATCCACACCTGAATCCTCACCACAGATGTACATGGACCTTTTGTTTTTCTGGAAGTTGCAGTAATAGTATATAATAGTATAGTAATAGTATTAGCAGAAATACTAGACAACAGAAACTGGAACGGGTTTAGTGCAGAGATACTTACTGCATTTGGGATGGAAAAACAATGTGGGCACATCTTGCTCCTCATCAACAACTTTTGAGAGAAGTTTCCTCTTTCTAGAAGGTTTCCTGGTTTATTTACAAAAACCAATCTAACGTAAAAAACTAAAAAGCCTCAGTGAAAAACGCAGCCGAAAAAAGACAAAACTACGGGTGATCGAACAGTACAAAAATGGCAAAGCAATGTCAAATATGACTAAATATAATCTAAAATTACTAAATAAAAACATAAAGTAGGAAATTTACTGAAAATAATTATTTACACCAGTAGAAGAGATAGAAGTTGAAAATAGGCGTCCAAAACAATTCCTCCGCTCCCATGGCGAGAAAGAGGAAGAAGAAACTCCTCCTGTAAAATCTTTCTTATTAAAACACTAAAACGTTTTGGCAGCAGCATGAAGGCGTCTCGCTATTCATTTTCTCTCTCCCTTTCCTTTCTTCTAATTTATTTATTTTTTGTTCTTTTCTATTTTTAAACATATTTTTAGTCATTTAAACATATTTTTATACTTTAATTGTTTTGTTTTTGTGAAGCACCTCGTGATTTTTATCTTGAGAGGCTCTATATAAAAGATCTTCTCAACGCTAACATACTTTTTCTTTTGTTATATTTATTTAGCTGTAAACATAATTATTAACTGTATTTATGTAACAGAAAACACTATGTTTTTGTGACGTGAAAGTGCTAAGCCCAGCTAGCTATAGTGCTCCAGACAGTTCAGTTTTTTAGCAGTTTTTATAAATTTATATTCATACATTTTGCATATAATTAAATAAAATAAAAAAAGACAAATAAAGTAAAATAACAGTTCCCTGAGAGTTTTGCAAATGCTGGAAGCCCTGATATAAATGCGGAATTTACATTATATAAACAACATTTGTAAAGTTTATCAACATTCATACATTTTTATGTGTTTTTTTTTCTCTCCTGATGTCTTTGGCTGTTTGGTGTGTTGCAATATCTTCTCCGGGCCGGCCAGTGGCGCTGTTGCGCACACGCGCAGCGGAACTGTCTGTAAACAAAATAACAAAAGCATGTATTTATGCTGAACGTGATGTTAACGCCATCACGTTAGTCTTTTAAAATCAATAATAGCGACGATGAGATGGAGGAAGAACTTAGCGAGTGGAAAAACTCCTTCGTGGATTCAGCAGCTCTCTTTTCCACCTCCTCAGTCGCTTCTGGTAAAATTGTAAGTTTTTGGTGCTTCAGCTTGATTTGAAGATAACTTCTGTGTCTTATATTCAGGATCAGCTGTTAAAGCATCATCAGCTCCTTCACACAGAGTCATTTTGCATTTTGACCTGGACTGCTTCTACGCTCAGGTGGAAATGATAAGAAATCCAGCTCTGAGATGCGTGCCTTTAGGTAAACCTAAAATATTATTATGGAATATTAAAGTTGCTGAGTTTCTGTGAAGGTTAAACACTTCTGTCTTCAGGTGTTCAGCAGAAATACATCATAGTCACCAGTAACTACATGGCCAGGGGGCGGGGTGTTACCAAGCTGATGTCTGTCTCTGACGCAAAGGAGAAGTGTCCCGAGCTGGTGCTGGTTAACGGAGAAGACCTGACACACTACAGAGAAATGTCCTATAAAGTGACAGGTAGCCGTTCTTACCTATTTAGAGAATTTTATATCCTCCAACACATCAGATTGATTTTTGTGGGGAAAAATGTGCTGTTGGCTGTTTGATTTTAGTTATTAAATCCCAACAGGAAGCACATTAAACCTTAAACTATCATATGCAGCCAAAAAAAAAATAATAATAAAAGAGCGCCTTTTGCTATCAAAACTGGAAAATTAAAAATAAGTGTCACAGAAGTCAGTAAAGAAGATACAAATTTATATCGCAGCTGAGCTGCTACAAGAAATGTGTCCTTGTCTTCTGTTATTGTTATTGTGGGGAGAAAAAAGCTGATGTTTAAATTAGTTAACATCAAAAATGCATAAATTATAAATGTTTTCTGCTCACCTTCACTTTCAGAGCTGCTGATGTCTTATTGTCCCCTGGTTGAGAGGCTTGGATTTGATGAAAACTTCATGGATGTCACAGAGATGGTGGAACAAAAGCTCAAACAGACAGCAGAGCCTGGCTGCTTTTCCTTCAAAGGACGCGTCTACAATCACTCCAGTGAGTTGTGTGTCTGCCGCTGCACATCTGGCTCACTGAAACTGAAAGATAACTTGTGAAAGAGTTCATTTGTGACGTATTTGCATGCCGTTTTCAGTGTCACTCTAACCGTTCCATTTTAGATTTTTTTTTCTTTTTCTCCGTTCTTGCTCAGGTGCTGATGCTAAAGCCAGCGACCACCCCAGGTTGGCTTTAGGTTCTCACATCGCAGCAGAGCTGAGAGAAGCCGTCCGCGGCAAACTCGGCCTGACTGGCTGTGCTGGCATCGCCACAAACAAGCTGCTGGCCAAACTTGTTTCTGGCACCTTCAAACCAAACCAGCAAACCGTTTTACTGCAGGAGAACGTTGGCGACATTATGGGCTGCTTGAGCGGCCTCCGAAAAGTACCGGGTATGCACGTTAGAAAAATATTCTGATTCAGAGCTGGTATTTAAGGGTGGAAAAAACTTTAATTTGTGTATTAAATAACAACTTTGTGTTTCTGTGATTTCTTTCAGGCGTGGGTCACCAAACTGCTAAAAAACTTCAATCTCTGGGATTGGTCAGTGTTAAAGACCTGCAGGTTTACCCTTTAAACGACTTAGCGAAGCAGTTTGGAGGTCCTACGGCTCAGCGCTTGAAGAATCTGGTGCTAGGTGTTGATGATTCTCCTGTCACCCCCTCTGGAGCCCCTCAGGTGAATTTAGAGGCCCCAAAGACTTTCTAACACGTTTATCCTTAAGTAGCATTTAGTTATTTATCATATATTAGAAATGACCGCCATGAAGCTGTGAATAGATTTGGACTTATGTCTATTTAAAGAGCAAGTCACCCCCTAATCAACTTTATTTTTCTGATAAACTATATAAACGCGTGTCTAATCGTGCTGCAGACACGTGTAGTCAATAGTTTTGCACTTTAGTGCATTTTAGTTAAAGTTTAAATTTTCTGCTTAAAACTGTCGGTGTTGTGCCGTTGTCGGGGAAAACTCTGCACTGCATTTGAATTTTAATCTGCCATCGCTATTGGCTAAGAGGTAACCTAGGACATTAGCTGGTACCATATGATGTCACAATGTCGTTGTGAGCCTGTTTGTGTGTATTTGTTAGCGGCTCCGCCTTCTCTGTCTGCTAGGTAACAGCATTTGTTGCATTTTTCAAACAGGAAGTGGGAGTGGAGTAATGCTCTGGTAGGGGGTGACTTGCTCTTTAAGTAGAATTTTGTAGGATTATTACACTGACATTAATTTTATGCAATAAAAGTAGGTTTAACTAAGGACAATATCTCCAATAATAAAGATTACATATCAGAAACTATCAATGTATTGGTGTGAATCTGTCTTTAGATGCTGCTTGATCAGGAAATGGTGTTTATCAGTTGCATTAATGTCCTCTTCATCGTTCAGTCTCTCAGTGATGAAGATTCCTTCAAAAAAATGTCTTCAACTAAAGAAGTTGTGGAAAAGATTCAGCAGCTCTTGAGCAGTCTGGTAGAAAGGTCAGGACCAGTTTCAGCACCTCATCAATGGATCCATGGTTCTAATCTTTGAATGAAGACTTGCCGCTTCTACTTTGTCTTGTTTTATAAAAACCAGGATGCAGAAAGATGGCCGCCAGCCTCAAACCTTCAGGCTTACAATCCGAAGATTCACGACGACCAACAAGTGGTTCAGTCGGGAGAGCCGCCAGTGCCCGATCCCCAACAGCATCGGACAGAAGATCAGCTCTGGTGTGGCCACTTTGATCTACTTTTATTTAGTGAAACAAGTTTGGTTTGAAACACATTTCCGGATTAATCTCAGTGTTTATTTCGAGGCAGTGAGAGCCTCTTCTCCTGAACTTTAGATGAGTTTTATTTGTTCCTGCTTTCTGAAACCACCTAAAAATAAAAGTTTTTCTATTTTCTCTCCACAGAAAACAGAGAAGAAGCTGTGGTCCAGCTGGTTTCGATGGCTATGAAACTTTTCCAGAAGATGGTGGACAGCAGTGCTGATTTTCACCTCACACTCATAAATGTCTGCTTCAGCAACCTGCAGACGAGAGGGGCGGCCGTGAGCGGGAGGGGCGCCATCACATCGTTCTTCACGCAGAACGCATCCCCCAGAAAACCCCATCTCTTACCGTCACAAAACCAGGTGGTGTGTTTAAGATCTACAGATTCTGTCATTTAAATGAGCTCTTCATTTCTCCTCTTTATATCATTAAAGGTGGTTTGTACCTTTTGTGTATTTTTAAAGGATTTTTCTGAAAATTTAAAGACTATTACCATATTTTTACTTTTTTATTATTAAATAAATACTGTATTTTCTGGACTATAAGTCACTCTTTTTTCATAGTCTGTCTGGTCCTGTGACTTATATACCAAATTATGTAGGCTATACCGCGCTGCTGCGGGCCAGCTCTGGACCAGGAATGAGCTCCCCTGCCCCGCCATCCTCTGCTGGAGACCGTGGCGCGCTGCTGCGCCCGCGTTGTTTATTCTGTTATTGTTACCGGTACTTGTGACATGCTTGGTCTCAGATTTTGTAAGAAAAATAATAATATTTCCCCCCAAAATGTGACTTATAGTCCAGTGCAACTTACCGTAAATCCTCTAATATTAGCCTGTATTTAATTAACTGCCGGGTATCATATTTTGGTCGGTGTCGGCGGAGGTGAATAATGGCCGTTTTTTAATTGTGGCCGGGTGGAATGTGGTAACAAGCAAGTACGGGGGGCGGTTGTGTCATCCGTCTCACTTTTGATTTGCCAGTGACAGACCGCGAGGGTAACTTTAACCGTGCGGAGACGAAGAGGAGGCGAAAGTTTGATATCAAGTTCAAAGAGAATGTGCAGATTATGCTGCCGAACACTCTGGAGAGCAGTAGCAGGGGTTGTATGAACTAGTCACTAGTCGACTTCACCGCTCTATAGTGACTTTTTATGCCTGTCATCGACTAGTCGCTGTCACGTGATAATGACCGGCAAGATGCAGTCCTCGGAAAAGACAGCAGCCTGCTGTCAGCAGGTGACAAGCTCCTGCGCGTCGGGAGGCAACGTGCTGTGCCAGAGCGTCGGTACTGACACCTGCCGTAAAACGGACATTTAACCAAATTGTGACGTTTACCCTCTTGCAATTTAACCTTCCCCTCACCCCCATCCTAACCTTAACCAGCTTGCGCATGCAAAGCTCTGATTGTTGACGGGCTCCAGACATCTGCCACAGTAACATTGTCAAATCAGGTGTCGCCACCTCAAAAACTAATTTAACACAAGATCGTTCATGTCGGCTCATTTCCTTTTACGTTTTTTGCTTTTTTATTCTTTTATTTGTGCCTGATGTGTTTCACTGCTGTGGACTGGGGCGCATCGACTGTTTTGTCCTCGGTGAAGCACCACTGATACAAGCAAGCAGCGCTCACTCCGCTGTTTTTGCGGTCGGTAGATCTTTTAGAACTGCAGTTCAAAGGTAACTCATAAGGTGAATATATATGAACCCAGGTAGCAGTTTTTCTTTAGGATTGAGAGGAGATGCAGGAAGATAATAAACAGACAGGACAGAAAAATAGTCAAATAAAAACAAGCTAGTTTTTGTACCTGGTGGTTGCAACAAACAGACACCATTGAAGGTAATCAGAAGTGAGGAACAGAAAATGAAATAATTATTTTAATGTTTAGAGCAGCAGGAACTCTGACAGGCTGCAGGCGCATCAGTGAGTTTGCGGCCGCTGCGCAGGGGGAGGGGGGAGAGGGCTGAAGCAGAAACTACCGTTGTTAAAAGAAATGTGTTTAACTTTGAAAATGTGGGCGCAATTTTAATTGTCAAAAACTCCAGCGAACCATTAGTTCATTTTGCTCAAATAGAAATTGAGGCCTGCCTCTAATTCTGGCCCTCCTTCCAATAAAGGCCTGGAGCTTGATGAGCTTGAGTCAAATACAGACCTGGGCCTGTATTGGAGGATTTACAGTACACATGTTTTTTTCTTCTTCATTATACATTTTATGGCTGGTGCGACTAATACTCCAGAAAATACGGTAATTAAACAAATAGTGAAAACTGTATGACTCAGAGCTTTTGCACATCTAAACTAAACTAAAATATGAACTTTTTCTTGTTTTTAAGAGGAAAAAAGCAAATCATATTTTCAAAGTTGAAAACCAGAATTTTAACATTTGTTTTTAGTATTTTTTGCAAGAAATTTGTATGTAATTATTTGTAGATGTTGTTAATCAGTGCTTTTTCTTTTTTAAATGTGAGTAAGCATTAGATGTTGCAGTTATTATTATTCATCTCTCGCTTGGACAGAATATTTGGGTATTAAAAGCTGTCAATTATCTTGGCGAGCAGATGAGTTGCTCTCTTTAGCTGCTTTATTTGTGCCAACTCTTATGGGCTCGACACACGGGAGGCGACATCGCCTCTCCTCCATTCATTTTCAATGAGATGTGCGCGGCACAACGATAATCGCAGGTCTCTCTCCTACTAAGCGAAATGCGAAAAACTCGCGTGTGAAATTTTGCGCTCGCGCACGTGTCGTGCACCGGCAACCCAGCGATGCGATCCCAGAAAGTTGAAATATTTTCAACTTTTATCGCTGTCGCTCGGACGAGAACCAATCAACGGAGGTTTCATTCACTGACCAATGAGCAGACAGGATGCTCCGTACATCTCCGAGCAAACATGGACTCCGTTTCTCCTTCAGTGACTGTGTTCATCTTAATGTGAGATCCAAACCGTGTGATAAATTGAAGCATATCCTGACAGACAGAGAGCAGCCCTCTCCTTGTTTGTAACATGGAATGAACCATTCTCTGTTTTTTTTCCAGAAGTAAGATTTCACATAACTCTAGAAGCACCTTGTGAAACATATCTACCGCCTATTTTTAACTCTGAACCTCTTAAATAACCTTAATTCCCTCCAACCTGACACAGCCAATGAAAAAGCAACGGAAGATTCGATCTCGCCATGGAACAGAACGTGTCGACGGCTTTGCCGCTGCCGTGGGTCCAGTGACGGCTCCAGAAATGTTTTTCTGCAGGTGCTATGAAGGAGCTAGTCTTTTTATTGAGGTTGCTATGAAGGAAGTGGTCATGCGTACCTATTGTTCTCTAAAACACCTTCAACACTAGCAGAGACACATGCGCGCACACAACCTCAACAACACCTGAAACAATCATTAATATACATCATAAACATATGAACAATCGCTGACTTTTCCATGAAATCATAAACACATACAGCCGCACAGAAAACCATCCATAGTGTTGCAAGGTTAGCTAACGTTAGTGTTAGCATTTCCAGCGGCAAAACCCTCGACTGCTGCGGCGGTAGTGGGTTGACTCTCTTCATCCAGATCCATAGGTTTTTGTGGGACTGAGATCACTTCCAAAGATTCATTCGTTTCTGACTGAACCCGTGGAAATTTGGGCAACAAAAACCGATCCATTTTATCACTAGCTCTACCTTTCACTCGTTTACAGGTGGAAAATGAGGTCAAAGGTTAACACCAATTTCCTGTTTTGGTTTAAGTTTTTACTATATATGATAATTTACTGACTATTTTTGTGTTGTATGTTAAATATTATCACATCCACACCTTAAGTTCAAATGAAATTATAAAAAAAAATCTAATACTTACTTGGGGGGGGGGGGGGGGTGCAATGACTAATCCAGGGGTAGCTAGAGCGCCCCCCTGGTACCGCCACTGCTCAGGTCGCCTCCTGTGTGTCTAGTAATAAAAACGAAAGCGACAAATTTCGCTGATCGCAGTCGTTTGTCGCCTCCCGTGTATCGAGCCCATTAGAAATTCCTGAAATGCTTTCTGATCCCCCCCCCCCCCCCTCCTTTTTTTGCTCCAATAGGACGATTCGCCTCGGAACGCCGGTGGCCGGCTCGACACACAAATCAGGATTTCTCCACAAAAAAAACATGTCACCTCAAAAAGCTCAACTAGCTCTGAGGGGGCATCACACGGGTTTAAATGGAAACAAGATTCTGTTATGGAAGAGAATCAGACAACTGCCTGCTGCTCCGAGGTTTCCTGTCCTGATGCAACAGCAAACACTGCGGCAGATCAGTTGCCCCCAGATGTTGACCCAGAGGTGTTTAAGCTCCTTCCAGAGGAAATTCAGAAAGAGTTGTTGTCTCCTCTCTTCCTAAACTCCTTGTCCAGCTATCACTTAGTCTCGGGTGTCACCCGCAAACCAACAAACAAGTCCTCAGACTCTGAAAGGATTGGACATCCTGCTAACACACTGGACACGTCTAACCGAGCGACCACCATGAGTCAGCCTGCAGGAACAAGTGGGAGTCACGGAGAGAACGTCATGGAAGGAGATGAGTTGCCCTTCCCCCAGCCTTCTGACTGTAAGTTCCCTGGAAATGTGGACCCTGAGGTGTTCTCGGAGCTCCCACCGGACGTTCAACGGGAGCTCATGTCTGAATGGAAGCAGGAGAAACTGATTCTGAAGACGCCGTCGTCCAGGAAACCAGGAGGAGGCTCGGTGAGCAAAGACAGAAAGTCTGCAGGGAAAAGCAGCCAGGCAAATAATCTGTTCAAGTATTTTAAACCCAGTTAAACTTTGTTGTTTCTACACTTCGTTCACGTCCAGGTGTGTTGTTTTTCTAGGGAAAAGGTTCATGTGATGAGGACTAAATAAAACTTTGTCATCAAGTTTATGTGTTTTTTCATGGTTAACATGTAACGTTTAACGGTAGAGAGTTGATCTGAATGTGGGCTGAGATCTTAACTAAATCCACTGAGATGGTGTTTGTGGGAATAAATCCAGTTTTAAAAGAGCCTTTTTTTAATCCCTCATGAGAAACAGCAGAACAGAGTCTGTAAGCTCAGCCCCACTCGAATCGGAACAGTCTCCTCCCTGCATCACACGTGAGACGAGGAAAAGTTCAGCCTGGAGCATGCCTTCGCTGTCCCGTCATCTTTGATCTAATAAAGTGGAAAACAACTTCTGGATGGACGTTTGTACTTCCTGTGGATAACGTGGTAAGATTTATGTGCTTGGTTGCAGAAAAGTATTTTTTTATCTGTTTTACTGCATTTTTGCTTGTTTAAATCCTTAAATACATCTTATGGTATTAATGATTTTACTTCTAAATCACTGTTTAGTCGTCTTTGTGAACTCTTAACGTGACAAAAACAGGAAAAACCTAAAACGCACAGATGTTTTTGACTTTTCTTATCGAAATAGGAAGATGTAGAGACTTTCAGTGACTTCCATGGTCCAAAGACCTTCACGTGGATGAAAGAACCCCTGTCTACCAAACCGATCTTAAGCTGAGAAATTTCCCAGAAAATTCTGGAGGGGCCTTTGACTGCTCATGTGGAGCCAACTCCAGTCATGCGCTCGTCCTTCTGTGATCAGCGCCTAATGACCAGGGAGTTATGACGTACCGCTAAGCCTGCATAATGGTCTTGCAGCATATTTGCAGCTCAAGAGGAAGATTTTTAACTGAGTTGTAGCTAAACTCTCATGTTGTGCTTTCTGAAAACCAGCTTGTGCTGAGGGCTGGATTCTGTGGCAGGGTGAGCACAGCTGCAGGATGGTTGACTGGGATTACGACTATCTGATCAAGCTGCTGGCCCTGGGAGACTCGGGGGTGGGGAAGACCACCTTCCTCTACAGGTACACGGACAGCAAGTTCAACAGAAGGTTCACAACCACTGTGGGGATTGACTTCAGGGAGAAGAGAGTGGTGAGTGTTGAGAAGAAATCATGTCAGAGGTTCTGGGATGTTTTACTGAGCTCTCTGGTCTGGATCAGGTGTACACAGGAACCGGTGCAGACGGGACCAGTGAGAGGAACTTCAGAGTCCACCTTCAGCTCTGGGACACCGCAGGTCAGGAGAGGTGAGCCTGGCTTTTCTCTCCTCCGTGTTTGATCTTACATCTTCAACAGAACGCGCTACTCTTCAGTCAAAATAAGCATTTGTGTTGTTTTTCTATCAATAAAATTAAATGCATTATAATAATGATGTAAATCTGCAGGAATTTTTTGTTGCCTTTAAAGTTGGGGCCAAAATTTCATGCTGGTAAATGTTTCACAGATAAAATTTAATTTTCTTTTATGATTATTATTTTTATTGTTTGAGAATCCAATTGAGAT